AATTATCTTTGATAAATTTCTCTCTAGTTTTCATCTCTGAAAATAAATCAAGGTTTTGTTTAAATTCTCCAGTGATTTAAAAATACAGTGATACAATAGTGACTTTTTGGTATTAAAATTAAAGTTAACTTACAGATATGAGGTCTTAGTTAAAAGCAAATGAACAACATAGTTTCAGCTGCTAAGTCTATTTCTGAATTCGTCCATCATTTTTGGGAGAGGCAAAGGCAATGCTTTGTGTTAATTTTCATTTTGGCAAGCTTCTCTTTGTTTTCACTCTCATGTACAAAAAGGGAATGAAAGCTAGCCAAACACAGACTGAAAACACATGCAAGTAATCCAATATAAGAATCTATTTTTTCTATAATGATTCATGTAAAATGCGGTTTGATTTTTCAACAGTGTGTTTTTAAAAAAACAAACCAACAAGTTTTTTTAAAGCTTCAGATTTCATCTAGGAAGGACTTTTTTTTATTATAGTAGTTGATAGTTACAGTGGATAAAATACTTTACCTGAACTTAGGCTTCAAATTGTCATCTTCCTATTTCTGACAATCCAAGCTAACCCATTCAGAACTAGTGTTCTGAATTCTTGTAGTTCCAGTAGCCAGGATACAGTCTGAGTAGGCTCCTTCCTTTTTTTTTTTTATTATTTTTTTTTTAATCTGCTCTTTACAGAAAGCAAGTTGAGTTTCCAGTCACTGGAACAAAAAGATTAGGTTATATACATCGGTTAATTTCTCTGGTTTTATTTATCTGTTAGATTTTATGAGCCAAAGAATTGAATTTCATACAGACTGCTTTTAGTAATTTAGTGAATTCTTTAAGGATTATTGAGTTATTTGCTTATGTGCTTATGTTATGCTATCATAAATTTCTTGTATAGGCTGCCTTTCTTACAGAAACAGTGCTCTAAATCTAAACTGTGTTAAGAAAACAGTATTGTGTCATTTGTTTAAAGTATGTATTTCTCTTGAGTTCCATAAAATTATAATTCCTTGGTTTATTAATGGTTTACTCTTAAAAACAATTTACTTGTTCATGGGTTTGTTGGGGGGTTTTGCTGGTTTATGTTTGTTTTTTTTAGTTAATTGTGGCTCTGGCAAAAAAAAAGCCCCCCCAAACCAAACCCAAATGAAAACAACAACAAATGCAACAAACCAAAACCCATACCTACAGTGACTTTAAAGAGTCATGATGGTATGTTTCTTCATTTTTCAGCCAACTAACAACAGAATACAAATTCCACTCCTTAGCAAGTTGTTACTTTTCTGAGAAAATGAAAAATAAACGAGACTAAAGTGAGTCATCTGAGTATAACAGTCAGAAAACAGCTTATTTTCAATTAAAAAAATACAGCCTTTCAGGTCTTTCAAACCTTAAGGCTGCACCAGCTCTCCATCCTACACTGTCAGTACCTGCACTTTAAACCCTTCAGCCTGTGCTTTATTTCCTGCGCTGTGATGGTCTAACTCTAGTGTGGTTTGGACTCAACAGCACCTGTGTCTCACTGACTGGATTTGGTGCATTCCTCAGCCATGCCCTTGCTGGCCAGCCTTTGTGAAATAAGGCTCTGACCTTTGCCAAGCCTCCAAGTGTGCTGCAGAGCAGTTCTTAACACTGTGTCTGCATTTTAGCATGTGCTGGAATATAAACAGCGTGGGAGACCTGTGTTTCAGATTTGGCTTGAGCCTTTGCTTTAGTTGGTTCAATAGAGGTAGTCACACACAGATCCTGCATTTAATAAACTATTGGTATTTGTCTTTAGTTTCTGTCATATTTTAATTTTAAATATGTGATGGTTGAGATGTCTATAAAGAAAATAACAAATAACTGATTTTTTTTTTCTTTTTAAAGGGATGCTGTGATTAAATGCTTCTCATCCTGTCTAGGGTAAAATATAAACAGGAACTACTACTGTCCACTTTAAAAGCCAACTGTAAATTTTGCTCAGAAAACTATACTTTTCCACTCCTGAAATAACCAGTAACAATTTAGTATTTTCCTTGCCTTTTGCATTTGGGAGATTAAGTAATTTTTACTAGAAAGTTTTAAAAATAAATTTGGTGAATTGTTTGTGTTTACCCTGGAACTTTCCAGCCTTTTTCTTTTAACAAAAAATACTTAATGCAGAGTAGTCTTAAAACTACTTTGCATCCAGTAACAGTTTATTCCTCAGTGGAGGCAAGCCACTATGATCTGGGTAGTATGCATAAAGATTTCATTTACAGTTCTGTCTAAAATTTGCAAGGTGCCATTCATGTTTGTACATTATCCATAGTATGTTTTCCCAGAGTTTTATAAACATTGTAAAGATTTGGTAAGTTATAATTAACTTCTCATTTGAAATGTTCTATACATGTGCCTTGTGGAAAAAGCCTAAAATGTGAAAGATCTGTTTAATGCTTGTTGGATTTTATTGAAAAACTGTATTTTAAATGATTTTTTTAAACTTTCGTACTTAAATACTTTTTACTAAAAGAACTTATGGCAAATGCATAAATGAGACTTGTGAAATAAATTCATTTTAAAGGTGCCTAAAATATTTTTCTTTAGGAATCAGCTAGAGAGGCTGAAAATTTTAGCATTACACTTGAATAAGTATGAAAGTAGAAAAAGTGGGATATGTACATGACTATATCCAAATTTGGTTATTAGATTTTCAGAAGTGACTTTAAAGCTTCTTCATTTTTAGTATTTAGAAAAACTGTTCATCCTGACTTAAACTGATAACAGATTGAAATGAAATACTTTAATACTTTGCCTGGATTCAGTAAGAGGTTCTCATTTCTAAGTTTTTTCAAGTAAGAACTATTCAGTTATTCTGGAGCAAAGTTAAATCTGTAACGGTTGATAATATATTGCAGAGGTTCTTTTGCACAGGATAGATGTGCTTGATTCATGTGTTCAAACCCTGTTGTTTTGGAATCACTTTTTTTTCTGTTAATGCACAAATACAGAAGAAGGGATGGCTTTTAAAGACATGAGCTGCAGTATCAGGAAGGGGGAAACCCCAGTCTTAGTATTCAGGGCTCAGGCTAAAGAGAGGAATTGCAGTACAGTACATTCCTGTAAATCTCAGTGTATGTTGCAAAACATAGCAACATCTTATGGGGAAACTGTATACAGGGTATACATGCATTATTTTGCATCTAAACTGCCAACCAAGGAACACCTTTTAACTGTTTAAAACAACAAACTGCCAGCAAGGCATCCTTCCTGCTGGTGATGGGGGCCTGGGTAGTCCTGGCCCTGCAGCAGGCTCTTGGGCTCGCTGGTAACTGTGTGGTGTAGTGACAGCCGCTCCAGCTTTGCCCACCCCCAGCCCTTGGGTGCTGGGGGACCCTTGAGGTAATTTTTAGTTCCTTTTAGTTTTCAGTTTGCATTGAAGATGAAGTAGCACATGCATAGGTGGTGATGGATATAATCCAGGTAATGGCCACCACTGCGCCTTCCTCTCTTGCTGCCGCTGATCACAGCTGACACCAAGGGGATCCCTTCCCACTAGTCAGTGCTTCAGGGCTGGGCCTTCAGTTGCTCCAGAGCTTGTTTTGCCTATAATCTGTCAGTTCTGGTGGTACACAATTAATCATTGTAAGTTTTAATTAGAATGGTATTTGTTATTCAGGATTTTTTAATTATTTATTTATGCACTATGGTAAGTAATGAAGTTAACGCTGATCAGGTAACACTGAGATCACCAGGAGAGAAAGGGTTCAAGAGCTGAGGTCCAAAAGTTCTATGTACTGGTAGGCCTTCATATGCACTTAAGTTTGTTACATCATGTGTTCTTGTTTTTCTCTCCTGAACATTTAAGGATTTAGTTCCTCCAACTGCATACAGAGCACATACACTGTGTTGTTTTGTCTATATCTTTTGCTTCTTCATATCCTGTCTTTGTTTAGTGAGTATTCCAAAAGCTCTCAGTTGATGAATCCTCATAGTATAATACCCTTTATGATAGTGTGGAACCATACATGTGAAGATCTCTATCCCAGTGGATTGCATACATCCTCCCCATCTTTTGATAAAGTTTTGGTATGCTACGTAAAATAGTACTTGGAAGTAAATGCTGTAGAAATCATATGCCATGACTACTTAGGCTAAATTTTGGAGTGGTAGTAATCTTGGCTTGATAAGAAACATTTGTTTACTTACTACTGCCCCATGAAACCTCTACAAACCTCTGTTGTTGTGTAGGACTTGAAAGGTAGGAAATTGCTGCCTTGTCCATCAGAAAAAAACCCCAACCAACAACCCCCCCCCCAAAAAACAACAACAAAAAAAACCCACAACAAAACCAAACCAAAAAACCATCACAACAGAAGTGTTGAACAATGCACTTTGTCTCAATCACAGATGGCATTGAGGCTAGGAAGAAGCATCTCTGGACTATGGTCTTCATGAGTAAGCAGGGCAGCTCTTGTCTTCAGAGTGGCTTGTGCATTGAAATTTGGTGTAGTAGCAAGTCTGCCCTAGGTCTGAGTGTGACTGACTGCACTCTTGTACTGTCTGCCTAACCTTATTCACGGTAATTCAAGTAATCAAGGAGCTCAAAATATTATTAAAGTTTTGAAGAGGGGAAGAGGGTGTTAGTGTAATGTGGCATTAAAATACTGCCCTTTAACACTTCGACGCTTGAGGACTTTGGGAAGAATTTGGAGCCTGTTTGCTCTCGGGCGTGCATGAGCCCCGCCGTACTCTTTCTTACCTTCGGCTCTGCTGTGGGTCGGGCGGAAGAGGACCGGGAGAAGTAGCACCGCAGCGAGCTAGTGAAGCCCGTCCAGGAAGGACGGACAGTGCTGGCAGGACCCCGATCCGTGCCCGCATGCCCACCCCTCGCCGGGGAAGGGTGTTCCCGGGGCGGGCGAAGGGCGGGAAGGGGGGCGGGTTATCGAGAGGGAAAAGGCACGGCTGTCGGTGTAGATCGAGCTCGTATCCAGCGCCGGCGGTCGGGGCTCCTAGTCCGCCTGTGGCCATGGGGCTGCAGCCGCGGCGCGCCGCGGGGCCCTGCCCGCCCGCGGGGAGAGGCGCCGCCCTGGCCGGAGCGCGCCCCGCGGCTCCCTGGGCCCGCAGCGATGAGCCGGAGGGGGCTCCCGGCCGCACCGCCACACTGCCGCCCCTCCTGCCGGCCCCCACGGCTTCCTCCGCTGCCCCCCGGCCGCAGCCCAAGAAGCCGCCGGCGGCCGCCTCGGCTCCCAAGAAGGCAGCCCCGCGGCCCGCGGAGGAGAAGGCGCCGAGGAAGACGCGGGGAGCGCCCCCGGAGCGGCCGGGCCCCCTCTCCAGCTCCTGGCCCTGCTCGTCCCTGCAGCGGCCTCCGCCGCGGAGGCCGCCGACCGAGCGGGGAGCGCGGCCCCAGCCCGCCCCGCCGCAGCCGCGGGGGCGCCCGGGGGCGGGCAGCCGCTCCTGCGAGAGCCTCGGCGGGGGGCCGGGGGAGGCGGCGGGGCGCTTCTCTCTCAGCCTGCCCCCGGAGGCGATCCGGGTGCTGCAGCGCCGCAGTCTGGAGCGGCAGCGGGGGCAGATCACCCCCGCGCCCGGAGGCAGAGCGGTCCTGGCCCGGCGCGGTGGCGGCGACCTGCGCGCCCTGCTGAAGGTTTCGCTGCTCAACGACCAGCACCGCTACGACGACGAGGAGTACGAGGAAGAGGAGGAGGCGGGAGCCGCAGCGGACGAGGGACTGGTGCGGAAATGCACTGAGTGGCTGCGCGGCGTGGAGAACGCGGTCGGCCGCGACCACCCCGACCGGCTGGAGACGCTGCCGCACCTTGGCACCCTCTGAACCCCGCCGGGACCAGCTCCGGGGGAGCGGCGCGGAGGGGGCCGCCGGATCGGGAGGTGGGGCCGCCGTCTGCAGCCGTCATGCCCTTTGTGGTGCCGTCGGCGCCGGGGATTCCGCGGTGGGGTCGGCCGAGGAGCCCCCGGCCTGGAGCCGATCCCCGGGACGGCGCCGCCGCTGGGGCGAGGGACAAAGGAGCTGCGACGGCCGGTGCCCGGGTACTCGGAGGGAGGGCAGCTGGCTGTGGGCGTCCTGCCTCTACCCTTGGGTTTTTTTAAGACTTACGAATACTTTATAAGATGTGCGTAATGGTTTTGTATATTTGTACATAAAAGTTCATTTTTATTTATTTGAATAAATGACTCTTGTGTTGCGGTAGCCTTTGCGGCTTGGTAGCTTCGCGTCCCCAGTCTGGCGGTGTCCACCAGCGTGTGTTCGCTGTCTCGGTGTCCTAAAGGTAAGGATGGCGGGCCGACCACTGTGGGAAGAGCCTACTGCCGTTCACAGGTTAGCTTGTTGATTCAGTCGCCGACAACTCGGCTCCAAAGAAAACGTTGAGGCGGCGGAGGCGGGATATCGAGCAGGTGGGGGCGAGCCCGTCCCTGCTGGGGGGCAGATGGCAGCGGGGGCGGCCACCGCGCCAGCGGGGAGCATCCCTCCCGGGAAGAGACATGGACAAGGGGAGGAGGAGGGGGCAGTGCGGGCGGCCGCGGAGTGGGCAGAGGCTGATCTGGTTCCCTGCGCCCGGGGCCGCATGTGCGCCGAGCAACGGAAGGGGAGCGGCTGGGTCTGTGCGTGTTCAGCGCGATTTCACCGTTTCCCAGACAGTAGTTAAGACACATCTGACCTTTCGAGCTGCTGCCAATTTACGAGGTGGAGGAGGGAGGAAGGAGGGAGGGAGCGCAACGTCAGCATCCTTTGTCAGCGCTCGTCGGCCTCATATTGCCGGGGCCCACCGCAGCCTTTCCCGCTCCGGGCTGTGACCGTGCCTGGTGCTCATCAGAGCTCTGTGTGTTGGGAGAGGTGAGGAGGGCCCGGGAGAGGTACAAAAATTACCGTCAGAAAAGGAAAGGTAAATCTTTAATAGGCTGACAGTTGTCTCGGCCACCTACTACCGCTCTCATATTGTTACCCAGCTTCTCAGAACAACAGTCAGACCTAAGCATTTACTGTGATTGTATAAATGTTTTGCAAATGAATGTTTGAACATATAGGAACACGTTAAATTGAATTACTCTTAGCAGAGTAAAACAAAGATTAGTGCCATAAATTGAGCATTATACATTTCACTTAGATGTCAGTTGTTTACACCAAATGACATTTGTGTTGACTGTTCCATTAAATCATGGAAGATAAACCTTTCTATATATTAATTGCATCATGTAGCAGTGTGCTACATTTTGGTTTGTTCAAGCACTTTTTTCCATTTTTTTTCACCTGAAATTTCAGGAATGACATGCTTTGAGAAAATATTTATTTATTAAATGCATTGATACTGCCATTGAAAAAGTGATGAACCAGTGTAAGACAAGTGTGAAATAGCTATGCTCGAAGGCCGCAGAGAAAAGCAAGGGGCATGAGAATTTACAGAGTCTAATTCTGTTTCATATACACAAATGCAAAGATTCATTTGTAGTGATAGCTATGAAATACATGCATAGAATCATAGAATCAGCTGGGTTGGAAGGGACCTCCAAGATCATCAAGTCCAACCCTTGATCCACTACCGCTGTGGTTGCTAGACCATGGCACTAAGTGCCACATCCAGTCTTATCTTAAAAACCTCTAGGGATGGAGAATCCAGTACTTCCCTGGGCAGCCCATTCCAATGTCTGATTACCCTCTCTGTAAAGAAATTCTTCCTTCATATCACTTTAGCTGAGTTTGCATGTAGTTCTGCTGTAATTATCAATTTTCAGTAACATCCTCAAGCAAATATGCCTCAACAATTGCAAATTTCCTGCCAAATTTAATATATGCTGGATTGATGTAGTCTTCATTGTTGTTTTTCTGTCTTCTAACAATAATGAAAATGGTAGTAGTTGAGCTATAGCTGAATTTTCCTTTTATGTCTCTTTTGGAAATGCAAGTTTACAAATGAGCATCCTGGACTCCTAACATTGTTCCTTGAAACTGCTCTATGGTTTCATATCGACTATAATCAGTGTCTCCAATTGCAACAAAAAGTGATTCACTCATTATGGGCTGAAGTACGTTTAAGCTTGTGAGGCTGAAAGCTGATTTGTTCAGAGCCTGAAATGTGGCAAAAAAACCCAATAAATTTGAATGCACAGCAGCAGCAAATACAGCATGAGCTGAGGGGGTATGAAATTGAAGATGACTGCCAACTCTGACAAAGGAGGAACCTGCTCAAACTACACTAGAAAGAAGAATTTGAGAACTTGGGAATTACCTTTTTTTTTCCCCTGAAGAATTGATTAGAGCAAAGCTGCCCAGAGGTCATGCAGATAAGATCTTTTGTGTTAGGTATGTCATTGTGCATGGTAACTGGAAGTGGGACTGAGATGGGTTCATCCTGAGATGAGGTTATGCAGTCCTGATTTTGGGCCAGATGTTAAGAGCCACTGGATTCTCTGAAGTCATATAACTAATGTCTGACTGTAATAGTACCTGCTTCACCAAATGGTAACATTAAGATTTATTGTTTTCTTTATTTGCTCCCTTTCTGTTCCCTTTGAATGATAAATGATGCCCCTAGTGTTCTGAATACTTTCAGCTGAAATGCCCATAAATCTTATAAGCAATATTAGAGGAGACAGAGGAAGCTACTTCCTACATACTAACAGTAACTTCTGTTAATTTTGCACAGCTTATCTCTCAGTATTTTTTCAGTTAAAAAGAAAACTGTTGGGTTCTAATATCTAAAAACTGTAGACAAATTAAACATAACAAAACTATTTCAGTCATTAATATGTGTCATAATGGACATTTGAGCTCAGTGGCAGGCTTCAGAAGACCAAAATGCATGTGGAAATTCAGACAGTGGTGAGAACCCCGAAATAAATCATTGCATTTGTCTTAGTGCAGCATCGCTACTGCTATCTAAGATCCATTATTTAATTATATGACAATAGGCATCCTATAATGAACTAATCACTGTTCCTTTTATAGGAAGAGCCTTCTCTTTCTGCTGAAAACCAAAACTTCCCATCCCAGTGGTCCCCAGTCAGCCTGAGCCTTCCTCCATCTGAGACATGGGTTCAGAACAGGTTGCTATTGGCATGACTGGAAAATTCAAGTGGGATGCCATGAAACAACATTTCTCCTTGTTCCTCTGCTGCACATGTGCTCAACCAAGGTGAGAGAACTTTCCCTGGGCAGATAAGGCCACTGCTGGTTCCCCCCAGTTCTCAGCCTCTGGAGCTGCCCCGGTGTAAGTACTGACATAAGTAAGAACCCTTCTTCTGTACTGGTGAACAATTCAGGTGTGTTTAGGAATACTTCTCAGATGGCATAGATTTGATTTTACCAGAAGAACCAACAAGCAGCCTGGAAGCCACTACATTTGGTTTTTACAGTATATTAGCCATCTCCAAAGTGCTTCAGCCTAAGCCTCCCATTCCTAACCCTTTTAGCTGCTGAAGGAGAGTTAGGAGCAGCTGGTGCCATGGATGCTTAAAGTAATCAATAATTGCTTCAGGGTAGATAGCTTCTTCCACCAAACACATCAGTATGATTTACAGTAGAAAAAAAACACCCAACCAACACATATTCTGGATCTCTCTTTTTTTTTTTTTAAGGTAGCTAATAAATAGTGTTGGACTTATTGCTGTTTCTTGGCAAGCCTGAGAGAACAGAGGAACCCCATGTTTCTCTAACCAAACAGCCCCAGCCATGAGCATCACTGAGTTTGTTCTTGGGTTCTAGCCCAAATCTCAGCTTTCACACCTCACTGACAGTACCATCTTCCATCTCAAAGCTGAGGGGAGAGCATGGTGTTGCCCAGTGTAGTGGTTTGGTTTAGGCCTTTACCTGGCAACCAGGTCAAAACTAAGGAAGTACCCATATCCCAATATTCCATTCTATTCTTTACATAAGCAGAAATATAAATAGAAAGGGGAAGGAAGTCAGAAAGTTAGATCTCTTCTGGCGGAGTTGGAGAAAGCAAAGCAGCCTCCCTGCGGTTGGGTTTCTCATGTGGGAGTGTAAGGCCTTGTAGTGGTTTGAGCCAGGTTTTCCCCCTGAAGCTGAAAGTGGTAACCCCCAGGGGGTGGTGACCCTCGGGGCTTGACCCAATCGGTGCTCCTGCAAAATATAAACATATCTCTGGAGACCGGAAGAGAAGCAGTGGTACTTGTTGTGAGAAGAAGAGGTGGCCATGTTGTAGAGGCCACGAGGAGAAGGGGCTTTGGCCCCTTGGGGGCCTCTGCCCCCCCAGCCCCCAGTTGGGGGGCTGCAGGGACTTGGAACAGTGTTAGCTGGACTGAGTGCCTGTGGCTAGGAGCTGGGGGAGTTTTCTCCCCTGTAAGCAGAAGTGGGAGACGCTGGGAGCAGCGACGGAGCAGCAGCAGAACAGCAGTGTCCGAAGAGCAGTGGCAAAGAGCCAACTGATAAGAACCAAGAGAAGCAGCAGATGCCGGTATGCAACTGAAGCAGACACAGAGTTGTCTGAGGAAACAAAAAGAGCCAGCAGCAGAAAGCAGGACAAGAGACCCGAGCCAGCGGCAGGAAGAGAGTTTCGGAGGGTAAGAACTGGCTCAAACCAAAACCCCCAAACTCGCTAGAGACCCCTCTGAGAAAGAGGAGGGGGTGGTGGACTGAGTGGAGTCCTAAAGTGCAGTATGCACTACAGAGAGGAGCTAAGAAGCTCCGGCCTCCTGAGAGCTCAGCCAGGATGGCCAAAGGAATGTGTGTGGAGGGGGTGACCTTGGGTTTCCCCCCCCCCTTGCTGCAGCTTCAGAGAAGCTGGCAGCCATCTTTGAGGCAGAGCATGGGAGCTCTGCACAGGGGCTTGATTTCCCCTGAAGATACCAGACTGTCACGAAGACCCCCGTGCTTCGTGATATGACCGTGGTGGAACGACCTTGTCTGGGGTTACGTAGTCCACGGAAAGACCCCCGTTTGAAGACGGAGGGCCGAGGGGCTTGGAGACCCCCTCGTGTGTGCTGGCAGAGAGCCAGCAACTGCTTCTGCTGCCTGGAAGAGAAGAAGAGAGCCTGCTGCCTAGAAAGAGACCTGTTGCTCAGAGACTGGAAGAGGTCTTTTCTTCTTCTTCTCTCCTGGACTTTTATTTGGAGGGAGAAGAGATTTGGCCCACTGTAAATATTATTGTCATGGTAGAGGTAGATATAGAGTTAAGATTGTTTGTAATGTATTATAGTATTTATTCACGTGTATAATCTTTGTAATATATTCCTTCCCCCATATTGAGTCTCGTGTTTTTGTCTGGAAAACCCATCTCACATGGGGTTGAGATGTGGATGGGGGGCTAGGAATCAGAATTGGATTTTGGGCTTTTTCAAACCATGACAGGCCTGTGAGTTTTTGAGAGGACGTTGCTTCTTCCCAATTTGAGAGGAGAGATCCAGTGGTGTAGACTTTGTGTTCTTAAGGAAAGTATTAAGATTTTGTTGGTTAGTTCTTTATTGGCTGCGTATATCTGGTTTTTGTTTTTTTCTGGGCTGTTGGGGTTCTCTTTCTTATATGTATATAGTTTTTTGTAATTGTATATAAGTGTAAATATATATATATACTGCTTTGATTCTGTTGTTTCAGTCTTTTAGTTTTTTTTCCCTCCCCTTTCCTTCCCCTGTGTTCATAGAACAGGGGGCGGGGGGGGGCAAGCCTCTTGTGATCTTAGGCTCTTGGCAGGGAGCCAAGTCTAAACCACCACACCCAGCTTTTATGGTTTTTTGTGATTTTCCTCACCAGAACACTTGTAAAACTCAGACAAGTGGTATTCTCTGAGCTGTTGACAGACATCTCCACCTGCCCTTCCCAGCTGTGCCTAAGGGATCTGACACACGGCTGGATGGGAGTATCAGTTTATGGGCTGCTGTCCTGAGAGGACTAGTGGGGTGGTGTCTGTCTTGAACAGCAACTGTCCTTACAGTTGAGGGGCTCTTTCTTTGGTTTTGTGGGTTGTTTTTGTGAAGTACTTAAAGGCACATTCTGTTTTCTCTCTTAAGAAAAGCCTCTTTTAGGTGGTGGTTTTGTAAAGAGAAGAAGAGCTTTTGAGAAGGTTTGACATTGGCACTTCCTGGAAGAGAAATCACTGCTTTGCAATGACCAGGTATGGTGATGTGCGAGCTCCCAGCTGACACCACTGTAAGGAGGAGAGACCAAAGGATGCCAAATAACTATCCTAACCAACGTTACTGCAGTTCACTTCCTGGCCTCCAAGAAAGATGAGAATGTTTCTTTTCCCTTCCCAGGGAGCAAAATCTGAAGTAATAGTCTTTTGAAATAGTGCTGGTAGTTTGTTATTCATGGCTGCTCTTGTTACTTCTGAGAATATAGGGAAAGCGTTGTGATCCTCACTGAATGAATGCTTGCACCAGGGCTGCTCGGCTGATGGGCTCTGGTCTGGATCTCACCCAGCTTCAGGACCAAACAAGCAGATGAGTGTGGTATGGTTAGGAGCTGCTTTCAGACAAGGAAGCTGGTTCCCAGTGATAACAGTTAGATGAGTGCATAGACAATCAAATAAGGTGTTTTAGCCCCTTTTAATTTTATTGAAAGAGTTGTTAAAGTATATTTTGGAAGTATATTGTTTTAAATCCATTTTTTTCCCCTTCCTTGCAGTGTACAATGAGGGCTTGAGAGTTCTGGGATGCCTTAAAGGTTTCTTGGTTGCTTTTTTTTCCCCCATAAAATTGAAGATATCAAAAACATGCGGTCTGTGTTTTGCAGTCAGTTGTCTTGAGTTAATGACTGTCCTGGTTTCATTTGCAATAGAGTTAATTTCTTCTCAGTACTGTGCTGTGTTTTGGATTCAGCATGAGAACAATGTTGATAACACTGATGTTTTTTGCTGTTCATCTCAAGTCAAGGCCTCTTTCTTTATATCTCATGCTGTGTCAGTGAGGAAGTACACAAAAGAAAAACTGTGAGAGAGCATAGCCGGGACAGGTGACCAAAACTGGCCACAGGGGTATTTCATACCACAGAACATTATGCCCAGTATATAAAGTGGGGGAGCTACCCAGAATGGGGGCCGATTTGGGTTCAGGGTCTGGCACTGGTCAGCGAATGGTGAGCAATTGTATTGTGTATCACTTGTTTGTTTTGCGATTTCGGGTTTTTTGTTGTTTTTTTTTTTTTAATAATCATTGCTATTATATTTTACTTTTTTTCAGTTATTAAACTTTTCTTATCTCAATCTACAAGTTTTACTTTTGATTGTCCTTTCCATTCCATGGCTGGAGGTGGGGAGGTGGTGAGTGAGTGGCTGCAAGGTGCTTAGTTGCCAGCTGGGCTTAAACCACGACAATGACATTAGGTCATTCTTATCGGAAGGGCCCACATTTTGGGTAGAAGTGCTAGGTGTAATAAAAACTCTAAGAATTTTTTCTTCTCCCGAAATTAGTTTTACTTTTTGGTTAAATTAACTGTTCAGTGAGAGTCAACTGATGTTCGGCTCTCAGCACTCTGACTAAAAGGAGTGTAATACTTCCATTATCTTTCCTGTCACCATCACACTTGGGTGTTGGTAAGAGCTGAGCTTTGAATGAAAAGAAAAAAGAGTTCCTAATTAAGCATAAAAATAAATTAGCACAGAAGCTATTACCTTCTTAGCAATTAGCACAGGAGAGAGCAAATTGTAGCAAATTATGGTATTCTGATTTTTTTTCCCCTAAACATTCTCTTGGCTGCCTGAGTTTTACCCACCAGTGCGGTCCCAACAGCCGGGCAGATACCTCACACAGTGAGGGGCTAGGAAATGATTCACAGCATTTACTTTGCCAGGGAATTTTCTGAATAACAAAATCCGAGTGGAAACAGTACTAAGCAACCAAACTCTCAGAGCTTTAAATTAAAAACTATCAGAGGCTATTTAGGACTAGGACAGAAATAGGAGGAAGTAAAAGCAAAATTCTGCAGAAAAGGCGCTCAGTGCTTGAAGCACCTGAGAGCAATTGACAAGGAAAAAGCTGGTGGGCGGGGGTGGGGCTGCGGGGCGGGCGTGGCCCGAGGCGAGAGGTGCTCTTGGCGGGGGCGATGCCTCTCCCCCAGGCTGGGGAACCACGGGAACCTCCCGGGAGTGCCGGAGGGGACGGAGTGGTGGTCGCCCTCCTGTGGGGCCCCATTGCCCCTCCTCCCCCTCGGGTGACCCGGCCCGGGAAACAGGTAATAGTTCTCAGTAAGAAGCTGCGGCTTTGCTTTTCTCTCTCTTTTTTTGTATTTTGTTGATGTTGTTTTTGTTTTAACACAATGTGTGTGGTAATTATGGCTATGTTCTTTGAAAACATTTTTATTTGCTTAGTGCCTAGTATGTGAATATCTTAACAGAGATCCAGCCATTTTAGTAGATACAGATACAGTCCTCCCTTTTTTTCCCTCCTGCAGCAACCGCTGTTATAACTTCTCATATCATTGCTAATAATGAGCTAAACCGATTTCCCCTTCTCTCCCTCACCCCTGCAATGCAAAGTTTCAAAGCAAAGAGAAAAAGAGTCAACAGTTGAATAAATGTTTCTGTGAGACTGTTGTGTGGTACTATGTGTCATTGGGAGTTACTCTTTTACCACCATGTCAAGTACTGAACAGATCTTGAGAGTGAATTTCATGCCTCTAACCAGGTGAGTTGTCCTATATGTTCACATGCCTTCTCCATATCACTTTGCAATGCCTGAAATCTCTTCTTGAGACAGGCCTGAAGACTCTGCACAAACATCATTAAAAAGGACCACTATGATGCCCTGGTGTTAAGTACTAGTTAAGAAGATATTTTGTACTGCTCACTGTATTCAACTGTATGGTCTATGGAGATTGCATGTTTTTCAATTTGTAGGTAGTCACTGAGCTGCTTTTAACTTTGAGAAAAATGTTGTGTGTAGACTTCATGCAGGTCATTTTAAGGTAGAAAATAATATGTCTTGGCAGATGTATGTGTGGGATAATGCACAGGATGTCATTAGGATGTGATTCCTTTAAATTACACATACATGGAAAATATTCATCTCATGGCTTCTTAATTTTTCCCAATGAGGTTACAAAAAGATTCTCTAACAGTGGGGTATAGTCTAACCCAGATACTGTTAATGATCACCATGATATCTTTAACTAAAAACTGGCACTATTGCAGGGGGAAATTACTGTAAAATAGCAAATATTGAATTCATATCAATGCTTACAATGCTTTTTGGACTGGTTTTTGGTTCCTGGCATGTTTGGGAAAGTTTACTGCGCAAGATAGGGCATTTACGTGCTTATTGCTAACCTTGTCATACTGACAGTTTACTGTTGGGAGTGTCTTCTTTTTTATTTTTTTGGAGTTCTTATGGAATATATGTCTCTATAGTGGTTCTCTCTGCTGTTTGAGATTAAAAAAATGCTCCAATTTGTGGATTGTTTAGAACGTGCCAGTTATTTCAAAGGATTTAATGAAATTTCTGAAAAAGTAAGCCAATGACCCATAGGCTTAAATCTCGTAATGAGGAATCTCTACCTCCACTGGCAAGTTATTTAAAAAATGCTGAAAACCACAGGAACATACACTGAGAATATGCAGCTGTCAAAACTACAAACTAGGGACAGGCAAAGGAGAAAGAAAATAGGTTGTGTAGAGCAGTACTGAAGTGTAAGTAGAAGCAAGGACTACAAATAGTCACGTGCCAAATGGTGCTCTCATCAGAGAGCAACTGGAGAACTATAGTGTATCAAGTTAGAAATCCTAAACCACACCTTTCTTGAGTCTGAAGGGTTGATTTTTTTGGGGCGGGGGAGGGAGGAAAAATGTCCTGTGACTTTATTTTCTTTTTCTTAACTTCAGAATGAGTTTAAAAAGAAATTTGGAGGTAGTAAATGTGTCTCTAACCTCTGGATGAATACAGATTGTAAGGAGAGCAGAAGGAGCTCAGGAAACTGGCTGCAGACAGCTGTGTCACCACTGGCTGATACCCAGCTGTGGGAGGACCTGCTTGGCTCAGCTGGCTGAGCTGCTTAGCATGCCTGCTTCCTTAACCATCAAATCCTTCAAGTTGGAAACATTTGCTCATCTGGTTTGCTTTGACTGATACAACTAGGGAGAGCTTCCACGAGGGGCTGAGTCAGATGAGATGTTTTGCTATAAATCTTGACTATGCCTACCTGGTCATAATATAATTTGACCACTCGAAGGGTTTACTCTGCACTCCTTTTTTTTCCCTTTAGGAGAGGTGAGAGTGGGGGGGCTTAAATCATTGCTAGTTAGAAGCACATGAATAGAGAGTAGGTGGTGTTAGTAGTCACACAGGAGCCTCTTGCGTCTTGGATGGGGTCATATAAAAAGTGGGATTTCATCACACCTGATGCTCACAAATGTACCTACAGTGACTGGTTTAGTTGTTTACAGGGGAAATAGCAAGTTGTGGGTGATCCTTGCTCACACCATTGCCTGGATACTGCTAGACAGCAAAGGGGTTCAGTTTTGCTTGAGAAGCTAGCAGAGTGGGTCACTAAGGCTTCTTTTTTATTTTTTTCATCATGAAAAGAAGGCAAACAGTTTACAAGAACAAATCTTAAGGTGTTTGTTTGGTGTTTATATCCTATTTATAGACCTATAATTCATCCTCAGTTAATATAACAACAAAGTTAATAAAATAACCTTTATTTTGATTCTCTGAATGATTCACCATCCCTCTTTGTGGCTGTTTTGTTCAAAAATAAAGGGGGTGAGGGTGGAGAAAGTGTATCCTGACTACAAAGGGAGATGATAAAAGCTTCAGTCTGTTTCTGGACCTCCTACGTAATATTGCCATAGTAACAAGGAGCTGAATGTGGCTGTTCATCACTGAATGCTGAGGTAAAGCAGATATTCTTCTTATTAAAAGGAATATTGCTAAAATACAGATTTTTAAGGTGTCAATAAGGAATTAGGAAAAAATTAAAATTATTGGCTTACTTAGCACACTCTGTAAGCTAATAATAAAGTGCCACTTTGAAAGAAGACAGGAAGATTAGGGCATTTAGCAAACATTTATAATGCTTTAAATCACAGCATTTTATCTTCCACACAAAGCAATGCTGAGGTGTGATGTGCAGTCACAGATAATATAGTTTGACATAAAAGTTACATGAGACAAGCAGCTCTCTTTTCTTCTGCCTAACACGTTTCTGGCATGGTAGTTGGCTGTGGCTGCTGCCAAATATTTGTACTGCAGCATTGACTGGCTATCCTCTAATCCAGATTAAAGTGTGAGTGGGTAAGGTATTTTGTGTATTCAGAACTGCATGATGTCTCCTACATCCTGGTGCTATATTTTAACTATTAAACCACCTCCAGAGGGGATTAAACTCTGTTCCAGGTGTGTGCATCAGGTAAATTTGTATATCTTTGGCATTTCAGAGGAAAAAGGAATAGCTCAATTGTTCACAGGAAAAAATTGGGAAGGATAAAAAAAGTACACCCATTTCAGTGCACTATTACTAGTGTAACTACTGTTACTACTGTAACTTCTCTGTGCTTTACAGTAAGAATTAGATACTTATTGCATTTCTGTGTCTAATAGCAGCTTTCCCCCCCCTTTTTTTAACTTTTCTGCATTTGATAAAATGATGGATTAAAAATGAAATTTGTTACTCTGCACACACTCTCAAAAGCCTTATTAAATTGCAAGTTGCTGGTTCTCTTTTTCTTTTCTGAAGGTTTTTTCAGTCTGAAGCATTTTTAAAATGATAGCCTGAAGCATGGAGCAGAACTTTACTATCAGCCACGGCTGCCTTCTGAGATCAGGAGGCAGGAAGTGGCTGCAGGAACAGCTTTTTGTACACCAGCGTTCTCTACCAGCTTCTCATGCTTCTGGTTGAGGTTACAACAAGGACATGAGCTGGAGGCAGCAGGTTTGGGGAAAGTGATCTGTACTCAGATACCTGGGAAAATGATATAGATTTGGGTCAGAGCCAGGCTGAAGAGATGGAAAGACTCAGCCAGGAGGAACAATAGCTGGAGGCTGCTACTGTTGGAGCTTGCAGAAGTGAAGACTGAGCTGAGAGCGCTGGAAAACCCCTGTGAAATGCCAGAGTAAATGGATGTCCCAACTTCTCCCATGATTGACTGAGTTAGCAGGTGACAAACTGGCTCCCCAGGCAGAGCCACTTTCTTCACTCAGCTCTGTGCTGGCACCCAGGCAATCCTGCACATGCTGGCAGCTGCTGGTGGTACAGGTGGTACATGAGGTGTCATTTCTTTGAGAAGGCAGGAGGTAGGATGGCCTTAACTTTCTCCTTTTTGAAAAGAACACCCCAAGGCAGTCACACACACATGCACAACACGGTTGTGGGGTCAAGCACACTGAAGTTAAGTATGAAGTAGTTCAACCATCCCTCTTTATTTATGTGCTCACGTAGCCTTTTTATAAGTGAATTTGGTCTTCCTTGTGCAGCCTAGTTGTGTATCTAGGAGTTTTTTATGCCTTACAGTGATGAGTTTTACAACAGCTCCCTGCACTGCCAGTGGAAAATGCCTAATTAAGCAGCCTCTTGGGCTGCATGTTAACATGTTCTGGTTGATATTGACTGTGTTGCCTGGTAAAAGGGTGGCAAACCCAAACTTTCAAGTTCTGAGCATACTAATGGGGGCCTTCTTGTATTTCATCTGCCAGGGAGTCTGTGTGGAAGGGAACAAATAAAGATCATGTAACTTGGTCTCTTTTCACAGTGTGAACAGTTGCCTGAATGGTATTTTTATTGCTTGTCTTTGAGTAATAAATACTTTTTTTTTTCTGTGAAACTGTGTCATATCTGACTAGTGGAGCTCCAGTTTCAAAAACAGCTCTTAGGATTTCAAGGGTAGCTTTGTGTGGATGGGAAACTGTGTTCATGAGGAGGCAGGAAACAAGGATTTGGAAGAGGAAAAATTTGTTTGTGGATTACTGTTTCTTTCGGATTACTGTAATTAAAAGAGAAATTGATAGTTTTAGGAACCAATGAAGTGGAGTATTCCTCTCTACCTGGTTCATGTCCTGGTCTTAGGGAAGAGTTATTGCTTCATGTGTGTCCTCTTTGCCTTTAGTAGTCTCAGAAGAGAAGTTAAATATTCTTCCTCAGTGTAGTCAATAGCCTGGTTGTTATGTTGCTCTCCTGGAAGGTGAGAGAATGTCGGTGTGAACTGCTTCATGCAGAGAAGTGAGTGCAGTGACCACCACTAGCCTGTTACTCAAAGTGTGCCGTTTTGTAGGACAGTTTTCACCGTCAGAGAGATGATAGTGAAATGTTTCTGCTCGTTAGGGAGCCCAGCTTCTATAGATGTCTAAGTTGATAGCTAATTCACTGCAATCTGAGTGCAACATCTGAGTGTAGATTTGAGAAACATATTTCTTGGGTACTTCTTTGTTACTTTAGGGGTTTTTCTTTCAGGTCTCTGCAGCCAGGGTATGAAAAACCCTGCTGCTGTGAGAGGGCAAGTCTTCAGCCCTTTAGCCCCAGGCTATGTTAGATTTTGGTGTCTGGCTTGGATTTGTGAGTGCTAGTCTATGAGCTGAATACCTAAAACCTAGATGGGGCAATGCCAAGTGTTGCCTCACTGCAAGTGTATCCCTCTTTTAACTGCTGGGGATTCTGGCCCTTGTCTTAATTTATATGTTGTGATGCAGGTGCTTTT